AGCCGCGCCTCGTGTTCCGTGTTCCCAAAACCGGCCCCGGGGCCGCCGGGCGGGACCGGCCTGGGAACCGTCCGAGCGGCCTTTTCTCCAGGCTGGCAAACTGCTGCTGAACTTGTCCTGTTAGTTCCTGAAGTGCTCCCAGAGAGCGGGAGGGAGGGGGGTGGTTTCAAGCTGAAAGAGGGCAGATTTAGGTAAGATGCTAGGAAGAAATTCTGTGCTGTGAGGGTGGGGAGAGCCTGGCCCGGGCTGCCCAGGGAAGCTGTGGCTGCCCCATCCCTGGCAGTGTTGAAGGGCAGGTTGGATGGGGCTTGGAGCAACCTGGGCTGGTGGGAGGTGTCCCTGCCCATGCAGGGGTGGGACTGGATGATCTTCAAGGTCCCTTCCAACCCAAGCCAGTCTGGGATTCTGTAAGTGAGGATACCTGGCAGCGGGAAGAGCAGTGTGGGGGTGTTGGTGGTAGCCAGTCCTGTCGCCCAGGGGTTGCTGCTGGCCCTCAGCCTCCTGCAAGCCACGCAGCTGCAGGGCCTGCAGCTCCAGCTGGGACGGGTCTGGTCTTCCTGAGTAAAACACTGTCACCTCGGTGGGCACCTTTGGCGTCTCAGAGATACACAACTTGCAGCTCATGCCTGTGACTCCTGCAGTGATGCAGATTTTTCAGCTTCTGCACGTTGGGCTTCGTGGAGGTGCCTCTTGTGACAGAGTCAAGAGCTGAGGCCCCTCATTGTAGGACGAGGGGTTGTCCCCCCTCTGTCCTGGTGCAGGTGCAGCTCCTGTGCTGTGTGGGGTCATCCTGCCAGGTGGGCTGCGCTGGGCTCAGGCAGAGAGCAGGAAACTGAGCTGAGAAAACTGTTTTACTGTGAGACTGGAGATGAGCACAGGCTGCAGGTGGAAGCTGTGGGTCTCCGTCCTTGGGGATACTCCCCTGGAGCCCCAGTTCCTGCCCCACCTTGGGCTGCAGCCCTGCAGCTGCCCTGGGGGAAGCACCTCTGGAATGTCCTTCACAGCCCTCTCATTCACTCTAAAATGCAAGCAGGGGAAAAGCGTGGGCAGACCTCAGGGTTCACAGACCAGAAGAAGCTGCTGCTTTGGATGCTTTCCTGAGCTTGTAATCAGTAGTTGTTTGTTTGCTCTTCCAGTGAGAGGCTCCGAGGGGCTTTACATGGTGCACGGGCCGCCCAGTTTCACAGAGAGCACCGCGTTTCAAAGGTACTGTTGTCATCCTCCTTCCTGATCTTCTGCACAGAATAAATGGGTGTCAGAAAAGGCAGATGCTGGAATCGAAAAATGTATAAATATAAGTGAAATTTTTCTTACTGTGAATAGTTCAGAAAATGGATGGTTTTGGAGGCTTTGTACTTGACTTCTCATTGCCAAAGTGATAATCACTGAACAACTGTAGAGTAGATTGCACTGTTAACAAAGTGTTGCTCAGGAACACAGCAGGGAAATGGGTGTGTTGCCCTTTGTTTTTGTTAAAAATACTTGAACTCATGCAGTGTGTTTGAGTACTAATGTGTGTTTCTTATTTCTTTAGGGACTCTGGAAGAAATTGCAAGGTTGTTGCTTTTAGCAAGGACGGTTCCCTCTTTGCCTGGTGCAATGGAGAAAAGTTGGTGTACTTTATGATATTAATAATTTGTTAGTTTGTGTTACAGTATTTCATTTGAGTTAAATAAATGGGGCTGGCTGTGCCCCATTTACTCTTGTCTGTGTGAAGGATATTGCTGTTAATGCAAGGGTTTGCATATACACTTCAAATGTAGGGGTTTTTGCTCTATTAGCAGTAGTGGCTTTGTTTCCATCTTAAATGTTGTATCCTTGTAAATATGTGGGATCAATGTGTGTTTTATCTCTGTTACAATCTTTCTGTTGGCCCTTGCTCAGCTTGAGCACTGTAGAAACGTGACTGGCCTCTCTAGGGATAGTTAACCCCTGTTCAGGGTTTCAGTGTTGCAGACAGAACACCTGCCACGTTCTGACCAGCACTGCCACCTGGTCTCTGGCTGCCTGGGCGTCTGCTTCTAAAGGGTGTTCTTGCAAAAGTGTAGTGAAACCAGGAGCTGAATCTAAAATCTAGAAGAGTCAAATATGTGAGAGGTGACCTGGGCTATTAATTAACTGTTCTAAGCATGTTTTACTGGAACAGCATCTTTTGTTTCCAGAGTAAACCTAGTTAATGTCACCAGTGCTGAGTTGCTGTGCTCCTTTGATCTCCCGAAGGTGGTTTGCCTCGCGTTCTCCCCCAAGAACAGTGTCCTGGCCACCTGGCAGGCCTACACAAGTGAGTGTTTGACCAGCTGTGGGAGTGCCCAGGGTAACTGTGTGTTTCAGTTGGGTTTGCAGGCTTCCCATTACCTGATCTGTGGTTGTGCCATGTTCGTTAGCTGGATGAGCAGCAGGCAAAGTGTGCGGAACACGGTACGGGTAAGCAGGTGGAGGAGGGAGTGCTGCCACCTCTGAGAGCACCTGGTGCTGATGTTCTTACAACCACTGAATCACAGGGCACACACTAACAGCTGCTCTCAGGTTAAATCTCATGTTTCTAAAAACTGCTAATGATCTTAGCACAAACAGTGTTTAAATAATATGCTGTTTGTGCAGTTTATATTCGTGTATAGACAAGGAGGATGGTAAGTTGTCTCAGAGCAGTCATGGTCTCTACTAGGCATAGCTGACCTGAGGCTTCTTTATTGTCCAGAGGGCTGTCTCCTCTCTTCTGCCTCTCCATGGAGCTCATGTTCCTGAATTAGATGCCCTCAGTCACATCTCAGGTGTGTGTCTGAAGCAGCTGCTGTACAGGTTTCCTCAGACAGAAAGAGCTGGCCACAAGCTGAGCATGTGGGAGGTGGTCTGGGACCACCAGACTGTTGATAGGACAAGGCAGCAGAGGTGACAGAACTGCAACCAACTGTGGGCTGCTGGAGAACCCCTGCGAGGTCTGTTCTGAGGTGTTGGAAACAGGCAGGCTGCAGCATTCAGAGTGAATAGAAGGGCACAGAGAGTTCAAAACCAGCAGAGCCATTTTGTGTGGCTTGCATCAGGGCTGTGACTGCAGCAGGATGGACAGAATGTGAGAATGAAAAGCAGGGCTGGAGAGCTGACCCATATTGTTTTCCCAGAGCAACTTGTTAAAAACGTGTTAAAAAGCCGCGCTAGTGTTGGTCTGAGCCTGGTCATGGGGAGTAGGAACCCTGCCCTTCCAAACAGGAGCTCTTCCTGCAGACTGGAGGAATGTAGGAGGACATGAGCAGGTAAAGCAGCCAGCAGTCTCAGGTTGTCCCTCGGGGGTAGGGTGCTTCTTGTAAGAGGTCTGTGCCCGTTTGGTTGCTTGTGGCATCATGGGGGGGGGTGTCACTGCCTGGAGCAGGGTGAGGCCCCACAGACCACCACTCTAACCCCTGTTTTTGTTGCAGCTGCTAAAGATGGCACAGCAGGGGTGCCCAACCTGCAGCTTCATGATGTGAAAACTGGAAAATGCTTAAAATCCTTCATCCAGAAGAAGATGCAGAACTGGTAAATAACACTCCAGATGCTAATTGTTTGCAAAAAAAAAGTGTGGTTTCCAAAATCTGATCCAGGTACAGAGAGCTTTAGTGTAGTGTTGGCTTTCAGGGTACTGCCTGCTGCTGGCTCAGAGCAAGTACCTGAGCTTGTGAGTATCCAGCCTCCAATTGCTCATTCCTTAGTGTAAATTTGCTGTCACTTTGCACCAGGAAAAGCTGGAGGGACAATAACTATGTGTAATTGTATATTTTTAATGTGCAGATGTTATTTGTCCTTTTGAAATATGTATAATTTTTTAACTTTGAAGGGAAAGAAATCCTGAACTGCCAAAGCTGAATATCACTCACTGTTTCTCATGCTTCTCTTTCACTGTAGGTGTCCTTGCTGGGCAGATGATGAGAGCATTTGTGCCAGGAATGTAAACAATGAAGTGCACTTCTTTGAAAACAACGACTTCAGTAAGTATTTCTGCTGGATGGTTTCATTTAGGCATCTTATTTTGGGTGTGTTTTTTTGTTATCAACTTCTTCCTCATTTTTTTTTCTTTTGCTTGCTTTTTATTTGAAATATTGCCCACATTCTATTTGAAATTGGAGTTCAGAATCATCATGTTTTAATGAAGTATGTTTTCATTTTCTTGTTTCTCTCTTCAGTGACTTACCTCGTATGAAATACATTTAGTTTTCAATGAAAGAGAGCTGATTTTGTATTGTTTATCACTTAATGAGATACAGGAAATTGTCCGTAGTGAATGTGATCTATGATTACTTCTTTGGGTTGTGTGTATTCTGTCAAAGAGCTATTAAAAACTGAAAATCAATGGTAAAAATGAAGTTGTGAAGCTAGAGCATTTTTTTTCAAGGAAATTTCCTACTAGTGGTAGAATATTGGGAGTCAATAAAGATGGATAAGGGAAAGGAGAAGAAGAAAAGCAGGAAGATAAAAATTAATTGGAAGAAAAATTTAGAGGAATAGAAGAAAACTGCTGGGGTTGGTTTTTTTTGTTTTTTTTGTTAAAGATAAAGCTGAAGTAGAATTTTATTTTGGGAGCTAAAAAGACAGCCTATGAGAGAGTCAAGTTCCTGAGCATTCTCCCTACTGATGTTAATGAAGCTACACTAGGGGATTGTGGAGTGTCTGTCCCAGGGGTCTGCTGCTCAGCACACACTTCCTGCAAACGTAAGGCTGTAGGTTGCTGCTGTTCATTTCCTTTTGGAATGTGCATTTCCCCCAGCTGTTTTTGTCCAGGGGTAAGTGTGCAGGGCAGAGCAGGCCTTTGCCCACACCTCCCAGTGGGAGGGATGAGCCAGGAGAGCTGGGAGGGGAGAAGCCCTGGCTCTGTGTGGGGGTGTGTGTTATCTGGGGGTGCCTGATGCTGCTTCCTCTGCAGTCAGCACAGATAAGGTGAAGAACTCTGTGTCTTGCTTCCAGCATGAGGTGTGTTCGTGGGGGTTGAGGAGCTTCCTTGCTGTTTGAACTTTCACACACTAGATACTGGATTTCAGACCTGGGCTTGGTTCAAGCTGGTTTTGTAAATAAAAATGTGTGATGAAATGGGAAGGTAATGCTTGTTTGCTCAGTAAAAGAAATTCTTTGTCATTGTATATACTGTTCTTTATTATCCATGATGGATAAAAAGATACAGTTAAGTAATCTAGGCTAACATGGTTTGTCACTAATATCATCACATCTGTGAATCTTTTTGTTGTTTGGTTTTTTTGCAGACACTATTGCAAATAAACTACATTTGCAGAAGGTTAATGATTTTGTGTTATCTCCAGGAGCACAGCCAACCAAGGTACTTCTGATGTTGTTTCCATTTTTTTAAAAATTTATTTTCTTCCGAAAAAATGGCTGTAATTTTAGCACCAGGCAGCAGCAGTGACCCCCCTGTGCTGCCAGGACCCTGACCTGCTGCTGCTGGGTGTTGCAGGTGGCCGTGTACGTGCCGGGCAGCAAGGGAGCCCCCTCCTTCGTCAGGCTCTACCAGTACCCCAGCTTTGGTGGCCCCCAGTCTGCACTGGCCAACAAGAGCTTCTTTAAAGCTGACAAGGTGACAATGCTGTGGAACAAGAAAGGTATAATATCTGTGTGTTGTGTGTTTCAACCCTGCCATTCCACCCCTCTGGGATTGATTCATTTTGTTTCCTGTGTAGGTTCTGCATGTAATGTGCATGTGCAGGTAAACATCAGTGCCACATTAGGGACACAGTGCTGGGCACTCCAAGGCAACTTTCCCATGCTGCCTTCCATGGTTTTGTACATTGCCATTCAGAATACTCTGCATGTTGACAAATTTTGCAGTCAAATAGCAAACTGGAAGTTAATTTTGTGTTCTGTGATGATAATGTATTTAGACTGTGAACGTTAAGATTATCCCAGAGCATAAACTGGTCCCAACGTGTAAAGCTGTGCATAGACAGGCCTGTCACAGTGGGGGTGACTTGCCCAGCCCTCTCTGTGCTTTGCTGTTTGTTGGCAATGAGCTGTTTCAGAGTAATGTTGTAAAAACCATTTTATGTCAACCCACCTTGTCTAGGGTACAGGGAAGTATGAGACATGTAGAAACCACAGGTGGGCACACAGCTTTGGGTAAAGCAGGTGAACATACAAAAGCTGTTGATGAAACATCTTATTCCAGCACTGATCAGGGTGCTTGGCTTCTGCCTTAGATTACTGTTTTTTTAATGGCTGTGAAAGTATGTTCACTTCCCTGTAATTCAGCAGTGAATGAGTAGCCTCACCTTACACTTTCCATCTGAGAGAGGAAAGTGTCTGTTCTATTTGGGCTAACATTTATGAAAAGTCAAATTAGAGAGAGAATGGTAACAGCCCTGTTACACAGGCAGCCAACTAGAATTCCTCATCAAAGCAATTTACCTTTGTTCGTGGCAGTTTGTGTGAAGTAACTTATCCAACCTGCGCTGGTCGTGTAGAAGTAACTGTGCTCTGTTCCTGCAGCCACGGCCGTGCTGGTGGTGGCCAGCACCGAGGTGGACAAGACGGGAGCCTCGTACTACGGCGAGCAGACCCTGCACTACATCGGCACGGACGGGCAGAGCGCCGTGGTGCAGCTGCGTGAGTCCCTGCCCCGCACCGCCCCGCACCGCCGCTCCTCGCTGTGCTGTGGGAGGGGTTTTCCTCGGGGCAGGCGCAGTGATCCTGGAAAAGTACATTGAAAATCCTGCGCTGGGTTATTTCTTTCGTGTTTTTTAACAGCTGAATTAATCTGGTACCTCTGGCCAGTGGCAACACTTTCTGTTAATATATACACGTCGTTTGCTGGAGAGGGTGTTGATGTGCACAGGGAGGGAACTGCGCATGTGTAGGAAGGGATTGCCTGGACAACAGAGCCAGGTTAACCTCTGAGCAGCTAACATGGGCAGGAAAGCATGTTACCAAACAGAATAATCCTACCTGCACTTCTAGACGTGCAGTTGGTGCTGTTACTGAAGGAGCTGGGGCAGAGTGAGAGCAACTTTTTAGAGACAGAAGTGGCAGATAGAAGTCCTTTATTTGGTATTGTAAAATGGGGAGTGTTACAAGATTTAAAACTACATGTTGGGGTAAAGCAAGTGGATACACTTGATTTCAGTGTCTTGTTTGATCTGGAAATCCATTCAGTAACTTCCTCAGTGGTGGTATTTGTTCATTATTTTAAGCTGTTGCTGTCTGTGTCAAACATCTGTCTTGTCTGGGATGAAAGAGATGGGAGTTTGTTGTGGACATCTCAGAACACCAGGGATGAGGGGATGTAGACCATCTGTGTTTGAGTGATTGCTGAGAGACAGTGAATATATTCTCTTCAATACTAGTGCTGCCTGGGAGCACACCTCCTGTTTGCCTCCTGGAGCAGAACTGGTGGCAGCAAGTGCTGTGCCCATTTCCCTTTGTTGCTAACTTCACTGGGGAAAAACAAGCAGGAGGAGAAGTCAGTATCTAGATTGTCTCTGGGAGCAGTTTCCTGGATTGAGAGCACTAGTTGTTTCATTGCAGGAGTATTAAAACCTTTGCCCTTTGAAGTTATTTATTTCCAGTGCACCTTTATTTGTCAGGAAGCTTAGAATTAATTTTCATTTGATTTAGCTCTTCCTTTTTGAGGAAAAAACGCTCAAAGTGCTGTTCTCTAAAACTTGTCTCCAACAAAGACAAATAGTGGGCACTTGGAATGAGTGGTGCCTCCTATTCCTGTGGATTTGTATGTCTGGCTGCCTTTGAGGTCCAGTTTTGAAGCTTTTTTCACCCCAGTATTTGTAGAGAGTTGCTCAGGCTGCAGCCTTTGTCTTGGCTGCTGGTGCCCATGTGAAGCTGCCCTCGTCTCTCCAGCTGCCTGCTGTCATGGAATGTGTAGGAACCTAATTTTGTATCAGAAAAATGCAACAGAAGAAGTTTTAAAACACACAGACAACCTGGTTCCTAAAGATGATGAGGCTTTAGAATCATAACAGGAATGAACAATTAAATCAGTTTGATATTTTGGGTCAATGTCTGGGTTTAAGAACTGTCAGTAATGCACTTGGCATTTATCTGAAGTGCAGGTTAAGATATCCAGATTATAAAAAGTTACAAGGACTCATGGGTTTTATTTGCCCCTGTGCGTTTCATGTGAGTTCCCATCACTCATTCATCATTCTTCAGGATCTCCTACTCAAGTTCTAACACCTGGAATAGCTTCTAACAATATCAAGTTTAAATCATGATTTGTAGAACTGTTTTTTGGGTGCTCTCTCACTTTAAAATCTGTCTTACAAAATGCCATGTGTGAGCACAGTCCAAAGATCAGTATTTCTGAGCTCTGCAGAGCTGAGCTATGCAGTATTTCTCAGTTTTAAAGACAGGAACACAGTTTCCAGCTAGTATAAAACTCCTGTTTTTGCAGGTTTCCAGTGGGACACTTTGAGAAGGTCCTGAGAGGTCGTACTGGAATAATGAGGAAAAAAAATAAAAGCTTTTTTTTACATGAAAAAAAAAATGCTTACTGTTAAAGTGCTGATGCTGACCCTACAGAGGTAATTGGAAAGGCTGCAGTTATTGTTGTAAACCTTAACTCACATTATCAGAAGGTGAAATGTTGCTTCTGCCTCTGTTAGCAGGAGGAATTTTCTGTCAATAGTTAATCACAGCATTTCAGCAAAGCATGAAGTTAAGAATAGCTGTCCGTTTTATTTTTCCTTGCACTGAGAAGATACAATCTCCTAACAACAGTTGCATCTTTTCCTCTTCCTTTAGCAAAAAATGGCCCTATTTATGATGTAGTTTGGAGCCCCAACTCTGTGGAGTTCTGCGTGGTGTACGGTTTTATGCCTGCCAAAGCAACAGTTTTTAACCTGAAATGCGACCCCGTGTTTGATTTCGGCACTGGTCCCCGCAATGCTGCCTACTACAGCCCCCATGGACACATCCTGGTGCTGGCAGGGTTTGGAAATCTCCGGGGACAGATGGAAGTGTGGGACGTTAAGAACTACAAACTCATTTCCAAGCCAGTAGCCTCGGATTCCACCTACTTCGCGTGGTGTCCTGACGGGGAGCATATCGTCACAGCCACCTGTGCCCCCAGGCTGAGGGTCAGCAATGGCTACAAGATCTGGCACTACACTGGCACTCTGCTGCACAGCTACCAGGTTCCCTCCAACGAGGAAATGTGGCAGGTGTCCTGGCAGCCCTTCCCGGATGGCGTGTTCCCAGCAAAAGCCGTGAAGTACCAGGCGGTGCCGAGCGAGCTGCCCAGCGCTGAGCCCAGGCCTGCTCAGGCCTACAGGCCTCCAGCCCTCAGGAATAAACCTGTCACCAGCTCCAAGCTGGTAAGTTGGCAGTGGCACGGAGGAATGAATCGGTCACATACTTTTTTCTTTTTTAAATTTATTTGTTTTTCCTTCTTCTTCCCTTACGGTTGATCTTTGCATAGGGCGTTGTCTTTGGTAGGTTTGGGTTCACTGTTGGGTTGTTTGTACCAGCCTGCTTGCCAACATGGAACACAGATTGTATCACTGTTAATTTTGCATGTCCCACAGCATGAGGATGAGCCACCTCAGAATATGAAGCCTCAGTCGGGAAGCAGTGATAAGCCACTCTCTAAAACAGCTCTCAAAAATCAAAGGAAGCACGAAGCCAAGAAAGCTGCTAAACAGGTACAGCAGGAGGAGTTGGTTCAAGGGTATTGTTGGTCAGTTTTCACAAACAGCACTGATGGGTCTCAGAGCAGTGCCTGGTAGTTGCACTGAGAGCCCTCCACACATCCTGCATGTGCAGAGTTGTGGGGAGGTTGGTAGAATAACTTCTGGAGCAGTCATTTATTGGAATAAGATTTTTAAAAATTCCTTATTCTGGTTTTGAGTCCATTCTTTTTCTCTGGAGGCAGCGACCCACCAGATTATCTTGTAAAATATTTGTGTATGTGTTTGTCGTGTCATCCTTACAGATGTTGCCCTATGCTATATAGGGTTGGTGTCTTGAGGAAGCAGAAATTAAACAAGAAACAGGATGTGAGTTGTTACAGATAACCCTGTTTTGTGGGAAGCAGGTGTGTAGCTAATGCACGACCTCAGAGCAAGCCACTTAGAAATTTCTGAGTACAACAGCAAAGCAGTGAAAGCAGAAATACTAAACGTGGCCCTTGACATGACTAAGACGTTTTGCAGTCCCTTGGTAACTGAAGGTGTTTTCTGGATCATGTACTTGCTTCCTTTGCCTGCAGGAGGCCAGAGCTGAAGGCAGCCAGGAGCCTAGGCAGTGCTCAGCACCAGCCAGCGCCCCGCGCGCTGCTGCGCCCGCCTCCTCGGGGGATCCCGAGCTTGACAAGAAGATCAAGAACTTAAAAAAGGTGAGGGGATTGTTTTCTCAAGAGCAGCAGATTTCTGTCGGAGAGGGTCTGTGAGGTCTGGTTTAAGGAGATGGAGCTCATCAGGGCAGCACTGACACAGATGGCAGTTTCCCAAGCTTGCGCAGCAGCTTCCGTTGCTGTCCCAGCTTGCGGCACAGCAGAGGTCACCACTGCCAGGGCTGCCAAAGGTCCTGTTGCCAGGGCTGCCTCTGGACAGGTGACAGTGGAGGAGCATTTCTGAATGTGTGTCCAGCCCCACAGGGAGATAAGGCCTGTTTATGTTTCAGAGGCTAAGAAGTGCTTCTGTTTTCTGGGTCTTACTCTTGAAAGAAGTGTCTTGCCCTGGTGGGGAATTGCAGACTGAGCCCCTGGAGATGCTCACCTGGCGTGTACCTTCCACACTGAGACCTGCCTCCTGGTGCCTGCAGGTGCAGGAGCTGCTATGACTGTTTTCTGTTCTTGCTTCACCAGTTCTTTTGTGTTAGTGTGGGTTTTTTACTTTGTTTTGGTTGTTTTGCAGAAACTAAAGGCAATTGAGCAGCTGAAAGAACAAGCAGCTGCTGGCAAACAGCTGGAGAAGAACCAGGTACTGTTCAGTTGCATGCAGTTTATTCAGGTTTCAGCTTATAATAAGCTACATCTGTGATATCTTGTGCTTGTTTTTTTGTTCTAGTTGGAGAAGATTCAGAAGGAAACTGCTCTCCTGCAGGAACTGGAAGAGCTAGAACTGGGTCTTTAAAACTCCTTGGAAATCCAGTATGATGTTTACACAGAGTCCGTGAAAAATATAAATTGTATTCACTTGAAGACAATAAAACGTTTCAGCAAATGACCGAGGTTGCGGAAGATCTGCTGCACACTGGCCTGTGAAAGAGCTTTCCTGCAGCTCAGGGGTGCCCAGCGGCTGGTTCTGCTGCCAGGGCAGGGCACCGCGGCCTCCTCTGCCGCTGCCTCCCCTCCCGGGCCGCGGGCAGGCGAGGGGCGCTGCCTTTGGCTTCCCTGTGCGTTGAGCGATGTGATCTCTGTGCAGCGTCGGTATCGGTACAGAGCGCCTCGCAATAAACCGTACTGCTCTTCTGTGCGCGGGCCG